TTTAAGATTCTTAAGATGATACATTCAACCAAAACAAGAAAAGTATCCTGGGAAGAAATCAACAACATAGGTGACCAAGCTTTAATCTTGGGGGACAGTTATTCTCTAGCAGTTTTGACATCAAATTATCCTGGATGCTCATCAACTTGCATATATTATACTGATCATGATTTTGACGTTACAAGTCATTATGTTCCTCATAGTCCTAATGATGACACATGCGTCTTCAACCTAATGGATGGGAGCTTTGGGTCGCATTACATAGTGGATCGAGAGCACTTGGTGCCCCCAATTTGAATTGTGCCAAATTTGAGAGATGCCAATTAACTAATTTGAGATTTTGTATGGGGCAACCTTGTTTTTAGTCATGACTTTCTTTTGATTTTTTTATTAATAGTTTCTACTAGTGTATGGTTCAATCACGCATTGTATGTAGACTTCCAGCTGCAGCTGTTATTTTAATAAAATAGAGGGATACAATTTTCTTTTGTTTTATGATGGTGTTATGGTCAGCTTGCTAGTAAGAGAAAATTTAGGCCTTGCTACCTTGCATAGTTTTGGATCACACAAACTTACCTGATACATTGGCTACTCTCCATCTTCTTGCGAGAAGGCATCACCGGAATAATCTCATTTTGTTATAATCTCACCAGATTAACTTGTAATTCAACTTTGTTCTATAATTACTTCGGCGCAGTACCAAAAGAAACTCTTCAAATTTGTGTTGCCGTAGTGGAATCCTTTGTTTAGTTTGACACCAAGACTTGTTTTGTTACATGTTGATGTATCGCATTGCAAAGAAGGGACATGTCTTACTGATTTTAAGGAAATTTACCTTAACTCGTAAATAGGGTAGGTGGGTGGGGAAGCAAGTGCGGGATCCTGTAAGGTATCAAAATGTGAATCAGAGAATATTACTCCGAATGCAGAAAAAGGGTGCTCATATGTGTTTACAGTCGTCTTTTGTTGGGTGTTCGTATTTGTTGAAGATATGAGATTTAGTGAATCACGGGATCAAATCGAATCAAAGTCTGCTGGTAGATTTGATTTGATTTAATCCCGTGATTTGCTAAATCTCAAATTTTCAAAGGGTATATAGTTTTTTTTTTCATCAACTTGTAGCAGAGGCAAATTCGAGAAAACACTAGGAGCAAAAATGGTTTTCACCACTTTATGTATATATTGAAATCTTTTCAAGTGAAGTTTTGTGCATTAAATACGACCAAATATATTTTTATAATGTATTATCAATCTCAAAGCATTAGCATGCATATAGCAGTTACCAACCAATGCTTGTAGAATCACACAGCAGCCGTATGCTTATAAGAAACACGATGTAGAATCACACAGCAGCCATATGCTTATAAGAAACACGAAGAGAAGGGAGATGTACCAATGCCAAACAACATGACAAGAAGGGTATGGGGGACCCATGGTTTAGCACTTTAAATTAATATTAGTAGTGAGATTTCGATCATAGTACCCCACATGCTTAGTATCCCATATTCATCCCCCCTTACCATACTCTGGCCATCTTTACATCTCCACGACTCCACTTTCTATTGATATAATTAGGGTATTAATCAAGTCGAGTTTTAGTTTGAGTCTCTCAAATTCGTCTTTTTAAACGATTCTAAAAAATTATTTATGCTCGGCTTATATATAAATGAACCGCACTTTGCAAGTTTGAGCCGATCTTTTTAAGACTCGTTTTTTTATACGAATCTAAAATATTGTTCAAATTTAGCTCATTTAAAACACGAATCAAGTTCGAGACGAGTTCTATCCGAAACGAGCCAGAGTAACTCGTCTTGATTAATACCCTAGATGTAATTTACAGCAACACTCTCTCAGGAATTGTGTTCATAGGAATGGAATTTCCTCTGCCATCTTTATTTCATTTTTCCTTTTCCTTTACGAAATTAGATAAATTGTATCCTATATACTAAGAGGAAAACACACATGTATTCCCACATATTAGTGGCAGCCTTATGTGATACCCCTTCGTTTCATCCCGTACAGAAATTATATGTAACAAGATTGAATTTTGGGGAGCGGTTTAAAGAAAAACATTATTGATCCAATTTTTAAAATCCAGATGAAGAGTTAGTTACATGGACACGAGTCAATTTCTTTATTGTATGAAGCTAATTAAATATTTCAAAAATCTCATAATTAAACTTGAAGAGGGGCGGTAACTCAATACCTCTTTTCCCTACGTTGTTTGTTCAAGATATAGGCTCGTGGTTAGTGTGTGTGTGAGAGAGAGAGAGAGAGCAAAGTGGCGAAGGAAAAAAACACAAAAATGACTAGACCAATGAAACCGAACACAAAAAGTCCTAGGCAACTTCGTGAAGACAGGTCATAAAAGATTTATCAATTGTAAATTCTCTAGTTCTGACATAGATAATCTGTCTTTGACCAGACCAAGAAGGAGATTAGTTAAGGTGTGCGTAAGACGACCCGAATACACTTGACCATTAAATAAAAATAAAAGCATGCTAGGAGGCCACAAATTAATTTTATTGGTACAATATTACTGTTTTCCTACGGCAACCCCTCTAAAATTGAGATAAACAATCTTTTTCGGGTTTCACTATAAAAGAATTTTTTGAAAAAAAAAGCCTTGTGCAAGGAATATAACCGTACAATATCAACTTGGGAACAGAATCTTCAGAGACAGTGGAGATGGTTCACCGGAAAGATAATAACTGTACCAACCATTTTAAAATGTCCCTAATCACATTAATCTAATTGATATGCAAAATCCTACGGTTGAGTGCTCACTAACACACATGTGCTGATCAATAAAGTATAATGTGAACGGAGGGTTTGTACCTGCAAGTTGTTCTTAGCATCCTCCATTCATTACTACTATACCACCCGCAAAAAGAAGAACAAAAAATCATTTGGTGCCATAAACAACCTGTTTTGACTTTGATAAGGAAACAACCTGTTGTAGTCTGATACTGTTTTTGTGTTTGGTTTATACATTAAATAGTATCGGATTGGACAAACTTATTCATCTCATACGCGTTCATATGGGCCTTGAATTAATTGTAGTGATAATATCTAAGAAATAGTTATTTCATCCCATGTTTATTTCATCCCTTGTTTGATTGGACTATTGAATGATAATATAAATATTAAATTATTAAAAAAACCCTCAAGATAATTATATCCTAGAGATTCTTAAGGGTAAAAATACCTTTTATCAAAGAGCAATGCCATTGAGACCTAATTTACTAACCTAATTCACTATGACCTTTAAATTAATTGTAGGTTGCATCAAACATTGAAACTTGGTGTTTATCTAATAGTTTCAATGAAGGCACATCATAAAGTCAACAAATTATATCAATTTTTTAGATTCAAATAACATTTTCCTTTATCAAAACATACTCCAAATTAACTATTTAAGCGCACCAAACATGTGGGTTTATTTAAGAGGTAATATGTGGATTTAAAAATATTATTCATCTAGGTCGGGAATATTTTTAGGTGATAATATCATGCCTAAAGCGTGTATCTAAACAAGGGAATAAATGGAATAAGGTGGAAACATACATTATTTTGTCTAAGAGTACCTCTGCCTAAACCAAACACCTTAGATTTCAAACACAACCCATCACAAGCATCATCCAGTATTCTTTCGCCATTGTCAGGGACGATGCTAGAAATTTATTGAGAGGGTCCAACTAATCGAACAAGAGTATGTACAAAAAACTGAACATATTATCCCAGCTGTAAGTGCTGAACAGATATTGGGATCTTTTCATAGATGGTGATTCCCATTAGCAAGCTACCAACAAATAGACTTAATGCAAAGAAGACAAAAAGGGGTACCCTCTTTTGGTTCATGAAACGATTTAAAAAAAAAAAATACACGAGAATAATCCATCCTAAATGCACAAGCCAAAACTAGCATATTTTTGTATTGTGCAACAATATGTCACTTCAATGAGATGGATAAAAGATGGCACTAACTACAATAATAATTTAAATGGTACCAAAAATAAGTTGTAAATCGTAAAATCTTGAATTCAAAATTTTGTAATTTTTTGAGATTAAATCATGAGAGATTTATCCCTCATGAATACCTTAATCCCAACATAAATGGTCTGTTTTTGACCGAACCGAATAGAAAATTAGTCTAGAGGAGTGTAAAATAAGAAATTATAGAAATAGGTAGCATTGCTATTATAAAGCGCAAGAATAAATGTTGCAAATAATATGCATCATCTGCCGTTATAAATAGACTTAAATGAATGGAAAATCGTATGGCATCCCAAAGAAAAAAAAATCAACACTTACTCTCTAGTTGGATTGATTAGAGTTTTCCAAAGTTTAGCACAATGGTTATTTCAAAAAAGGGGAAAAAAACCATTGTCTTGAAATGATCATTATGATGGAAAATAACAATTCTGGTTTGATAATTTAGGCTGCAAAAATTAGTTTTGTTATTCAAGTACATAATAATATTATTCTATCAAATTTGAAGAGTCCATTGCAAATAAAGTTCTCGATAAAAAGGATTTTTTTGTACTTTATACTCTTAAAGATTTTAATTTTTTTAATTTTATATTAATTAAATTTTTCACAATGTACCTTCAATATATTAAAAGTGTTACAATATGACCCTTCAATAAATTTTCATTTTTTTTCCGTCAAAAGTCAACCCTTTAATGCTAATAAAAAAACTTACATAAAGTTAACAAAAATAATACTACATTGTAACATTTTTTATATATAAAAGGTGCAATGTAAAAATTTTAATATGAGGGTATAAAATAAAAAACTTAAATTTGTTTAGGATATAAATTGTAATTCACCCGATAAAAAACTTAATGTACGGCATATTGATGTTTCTATAAATGTGGATTTTTTTTTTTTTTTTGTGACCCGAAAATAGAAGTTCAATAATGTCGTAATTAGTTAATTAATGTCCGAATATTAAATTCATCGCTCAGACAACTCCACCTCTGCTCATGCACACTATAATTTCTACTCTCTCTCTCTCCATTTCTTCAATCTCTCTCTTCTTTCGGACTTCATTCTCTACGCGATCTCTTGGGAACCGCCCAATTCGAATTCTTCACTTTCACTTTATGTTTCAGAATTCTAGGGTTTTGTTTTGCTCATTCTATTTGGATTGACAATTGAGGTGAGGTCTTGTATTTGAGCCTCGTATATGTGACCCTGAGGACTTGAGGTGAGTTTTCTCTGATCTTACCTAAGTAATGTTTTAGCTTAATCACTATCATTGAACTTGGTTTTTTGTAATTTGTTTTCCGATGTATGTGTAGATCTGTGTTGAAAAGGTGTGATTTTTGAGTTGCTAGATCAAATCTAAATACTGGCCTATGCAATGAGGGATCAGTAAGAAAGTGGATTTTTGTGTACGTTATTGTTTGTTTGGTGAGAAAACTGAAAAAAAGGGGGAAAATTAAGAACAATAAAAAAAAAAGAATAAAAGTGTGGAATTTTAAGTCATTAGTTTACATATTTAGCTTTGGAAAAAAAAATAGAAAATTCAATTCAGATAAACCAAATGGTTCTGGTTTTTCTACATTTTCCTGCAATTAAATGGGTGTAAACGTTTTTCTCAATGTAAAGGCACGAACACTAGCTATCTGATGGCCAGGGAAATTGTGCTTTGGGTTACTTGTGTTTTTTTTTTTGGGAAAGACATGCGGTGATAATAAGTAGATGCCATTGGAGAAAGTAGCCAGTGTATGAAATTAGAGTTGTGAATGCAAAGAATGTCATGTTATCTATATCCACTGAAAAAGATATGGTAGTTGTAGGGCCAAAAGTTTGAAACATGAGTCTATATGTGATTCTCAGTGGCACAGTAACAGAGGTAATGTTATGTGGGAAAATGCTATTAAGATCTCATTTGGAGACCTAATCTAGGTACCTAATCAATTGGAGCTGTTGGATTGAGAGAGTGCTACATCCAACCTTGAAACTCACAAGTAGTCTAGTGATTGCAATGAATTAGGTCCCTTATCGGGTCCCTATGGCATTGCTCTTTTAGGGGATGTTCTTCCCTTTTTCTCTTGTTCAAGATCTTCTAAAAAATCAAGAGAACAATCAATATGAGGGGTGTTTGAAAAGATTATTGGTTTACGTCGCCTATGGAAACTGAGAATGTGTGTCCGAGTGTGTGTAGGTTCATCTGTCTGTGCATGTGGGTACTGTTGTAAATTTACATATTGTTATCTTATGTGTTAAACAATGTAGTATTGGCGTGGAGAATGTTCATTGTTTTACTAAAGATTTGAACCTATTCAAGAGATTTGGCAAAATAATATTGAGTTCATAACATCATGTAGTTCTTGAACTGTAAACTTGGATGTTGGGGAGTAGAATTACTTCTAAAAGAACTTGTCCTGTAATTCTGTGCGTTTTTGTGGCAGAAAACATGCCTTCATGGCAGGGGAAGTCATCATCAAAAGAAGCAAAGAAGAAATCAAGCAAGGAGGGTTTTTTTGAGACATTATACCGAAAATTTAAGAATCCATCTGAAAGTAAATCTACTAGTAGATCAGGAGAGTCTCGAAGACATTGCAATGACACAGTTTCAGAAAAGGGGTCTCAATCTCGAGCAGGGTCAAGGTCACCATCACCTTCTAAACATGTATCAAGGTGTCAAAGTTTTGTTGAGAGGCCTATGGCCCAACCACTTCCACTTCCAGGTCTTCGCCCCGCAGGCGTAGGCCGTACACATTCTGGAATTACTGGATCAGCAAAACCAAGGGGGGAAAAGGGCTCCAAGCCCTCATTGTTTCTGCCTCTCCCAAGACCTTCATGCATCCGAAACAAGCCAGATCCTGCAGATTTAGATGGAGATTTGGTCACTGCTTCCATTTCTAGTGAAGGTTCTGTAGATAGCGATGATCCAGCTGACTCACGTCAGCGTAGTCCTCTGGCATCTGACTATGAAATTGGGAGTAGAACTGCTGCAGGCAGCCCTTCCAGGTAGCTTGCATGTTAACTTGAAAATGTGGCACTAAAATTTGATATGATCCTCCCCACCCCCATCTCCCTCTCTGCCTAGTGGATATTCTGTTGAATGTACATTGTTTTGCCTGTGTATTTTATGGTAATCTATCATTCTCCACTGCAAATTTTTCCAGGAGTTCTTTACTTTCTGACTTAATTATCTCATTTTTGCTGAAGCATGATGGTCAAGGATCGGTCTTCTGTCACGCAAACAAACTCAATGGAGGCACTTAAACCAGCTAATATTTTGTTCAATCCTTCACCTTCTAAAAGGAGACCTTTGAGCAGTCATGTGCCGAACCTACAGGTCCCTTATCATGGTGCCTTCTACAGTGCTCCAGACAGCTCAATGTCAAGCCCTTCTAGAAGTCCAATGAGGGCATTTGGCAATGAACAAGTAATAAATTCTGCTTTCTGGGCTGGAAAGACTTATCCAGATCTTTCTTTCATTGGATCTGGCCATTGCTCCAGCCCAGGCTCAGGTTACAATTCTGGGCATAACTCTATGGTAGGTGATATGTCTGGGCAATTATTTTGGCAGCCCAGCAGGAGTAGCCCAGAGTATTCTCCAATTCCTAGTCCCAGAATGAATAGCCCTGGCCCTAGCTCCAGAATTCAGAGTGGTGCTGTTACACCACTTCATCCAAGAGCTGGAGGGGCAGCCCTTGAATCGCAGACTAGCTGGCCTGATGATGGAAAGCAACAAAGTCATCGTTTGCCCCTTCCTCCAGTGACAGTTCCAAATTCTTCCATTTTCTCCCCATCAAATTCAGCAGCAACATCCCCCTCAGTACCACGAAGTCCAGGAAGGGCCGAAATTCTGGCAAGCCCTGGCTCACGCTGGAAAAAGGGAAAGTTGCTGGGTAGAGGCACCTTTGGGCATGTTTATGTTGGTTTTAACAGGTAAACTTGTATGATAAGTACTCAGATTTTTTCGTGTTTTTGCTTTACTTTTTTGCATATTGCTTTCACACGTGTGAAGCTACATTGTTTATTTCTGCCTTTAGATCAAACCGAGGCATGTAATTAAGGCTGATGTGTGCTACATTTTCCATTTATTATCACATTTGCATTTTCTTTCAACATTTATCTGATGCATTTTTATATATTTTTCCTGATCTATTATTTCCATTTTGGTTTTTCTGATTTCATTCTTGCATATCTGTTTGTATATTGCTGATTTAGTGAAAGCGGTGAAATGTGTGCAATGAAGGAGGTTACATTGTTTGCAGATGATGCAAAATCAAAGGAAAGTGCAAAGCAGTTAGGACAAGTAAGTTTATTAGCCTGAGATTGATGGAGAGATTACTTGTCTGTTAGATGAAGTTTGTTGCTTTTCAGAGTTTATTTTGTTAGTGTAAATTTTTTATGTAGCTTTGGAAGGAAGTTACATTTTCTGTTTTGACAGGAAATTGCTTTATTGAGCCGCTTGCGGCATCCCAACATTGTGCAGTATTATGGTTTTGAAACAGTAAGTTTTCTGTTTTCTGTACTTTTCATAAAAGGATGCACACCACTGTCTAAGAACTTGTGTTTTTTATGAATTCCATAGATGGTAGACAATGAGCCACTAAATTATTGGAAATTATGTAGTTACTTGACCTGCCTATTGATAAGTACTTGCCTATGCGTCATGTGTAGTATGTATTTCCATTAGCAATTATAGTCGTCTTTTGACCTAACTCTATCTCTGAATTCACGTTCCTTGAGCAGGTAGGTGATAAAATTTACATATATTTGGAGTACGTATCAGGTGGTTCCATCTATAAGCTTCTACAAGAATATGGACAATTTGGTGAATTGGCAATCCGCAGTTATAGTCAACAAATCTTATCAGGGCTTGCATATTTGCATGCTAAAAATACCGTCCATAGGTGAATTTAGTTTCCCATTTCAAATTAATTATTCTCAGGCATTAATCCTTTTGCTTAAAAAAATGGTGGCCCAATGCACGAGACTTCTGCCACTGCGGGGTCTGGGAAGGGCTTGCCAGAATTTCCTTCAGCTACTTTATTTTTTATCATGTTTCATTTGCTCAACCTTAAACATGAATCGACTTTAATGATGTTGTACTTTGTCGTGCAGGGACATAAAAGGAGCAAATATCCTGGTGGACCCAAATGGCCGCGTCAAGTTGGCGGATTTTGGAATGGCGAAGCATGTAAGTGCAGGCAGAGACTTTTATTAAAAATGCAATCAAACTAAATGGTTATCAGCCCTGTTTGAGAAATAAGAAATTGATTTAATGTAAAATTGGCACATCACTGTTTAGATAACAACATTTCCTGATGGCAATGCCTTTTCTTTTTAATGTCCTTTGGTTCTAGTACTTGCTGCAAGAAATATAAGGCATAATGTAATATTGTGCAGCTTGAATTGATAACCTGTAAATTTTTTATTATCATGTAAAACGTATCCATTGCAACTAAATATTTCATTTAAGAAATCAACTAATGCTTCATGTTCAGCTCCAAATCTCAGCAAATTCAATGATATTCGTCAAAACTTGCAGATCACGGGGCAGTCTTGTCCATTGTCATTTAAGGGAAGCCCTTACTGGATGGCACCTGAGGTCAGAAAATATTATTTATCATAGCTTTGAATTCTTGCTCATGACGTACTTCCAGGGATAGAATTCTCAAGACTGTCTTCCAATATATTCACTCAGGTTATAAAAAACCCAAATGGTTGCAACCTCGCGGTTGATATATGGAGTCTTGGTTGCACTGTTTTGGAAATGGCTACTTCAAAACCACCTTGGAGCCAGTATGAAGGGGTGAGTAATTTTCGATACTGACATTGGTGATTCCAGCTTTCTTTATACATTTGATCAATGGTGGTCTCCTGATTTGAACAACTGAGAATTCTTATATCCTAAGCTTGCTGATTATTTGATATGCCTTTTATTTTCCCTCTCACTGTTATTTTGTGTGTTCTTGTCTGAAGGTTGCTGCCATGTTTAAGATTGGAAATAGTAAAGAACTGCCTGCAATTCCTGATCACCTCTCTGATGAAGGAAAGGATTTTGTGAGGCAGTGTTTGCAACGAAACCCAAAGCATCGTCCTACAGCTGCTCAGCTTTTGGACCACCCTTTTGTGACAAATGCTGCTCCTTTGGAAAAGCCATTTTTTATAGGTCCTGAGCCTTCGGACCCTCCTCCTGGGGTTACAAATGGGGTGAAATCTCTGGTACGGTTATCTTTTAATGTTGTCACTTTCATCTATGCCGAGATCAAATTGATTCCTTTGTTCTCGTTTTTTTTTTAAAAATGTTTTTTGATAAGTTGACTGAAGTCCTCTCATGGTACTTTGTTTCTCATACCACCACAAATATGTCTAATGCATTTGGGCACCAACTGTTAGGTTGAGTGGTGCCTACACTGGGGCACCTTGTTGGAGATGCAGGTTTCCAGTCCTAGTTGGAACAGATGTGCAATAATTATCAAGAAAAAGAGACTGAAACATTACAATCTTGTCCCATTTTTTGTACTTTCCTTCATATACGAGACTAAGAAAAGATGGTTAGAGATAAAAAAACGAGGATCATAGAGTAATTAAAAAAACAAAGGAGTTTGAAAGTGTATAATGAGCAATATTTTTGGATGCACTTGGATGTGTTTTCAATATAAACAAACTCTCGGTCTAAAGCCTTACATATTGACAGATATTTGTTAGGGGCAATGTTTTGTTGTTTTTGTGATATTCTTGTTCAATCTCAATGAAATATCATGTTATGCATAGCTTCTACATGGGGTCTTCTTTGGTTTACCATAACTGCTCGTGATTTATGAACTAGCTTCAGGGCATTGGACATGGGAGTAACATTTCAACCTTGAATTCAGAAGGACTAGCCATACATTCATCTAGAATTACAAAATCTGGTTTCCATTCCAGGTACTCTCTCTCTCTCTCTCTCTCGTTTGACTACCAGATTTAGTGTATCACTTAGAAATTTAATATTAATTAAGCCTGTGTTTCTATGTTGTCAATTTTGTTTAACGTGTACAACAGAAATTAAATAGTGAGCCTTCTTTTCTAATTTCCTTTCTCTGATCTCCAGTGATATTCATATTCCCAAGAACATATCATGCCCAGTCTCTCCAATTGGGAGCCCTCTTTCACATCCAAGGTCACCACAACACCTGAATGGAAGAATGTCTCCGTCACCCATGTCTAGCCCTCGCACCACGTCAGGCTCATCCACACCTCTCACGGGTGGCAATGGTGCTATCCCATTTCATTGTCTTAATCAGACGGTTTGCTTGCAAAAGGGTTTTGGAAGCAGGCCGAAGTCCCCACACAGTCCTTACATCAATGGCCCCTCCTATTATGATCCAAACGCTGACATCTTTCGAGGGATGGGATCTCATGCTTTACAAGAATGGTTACCCTGTGAAAGTGATGCTCTTAGGAAGCAGTTTGGAAGGCCTGCTCATGGAGAACTGTATGATGGGCAATCTGTATTAGCTGATCGTGGGTCTCAACAACTCATAAAGGATTATGTGAAGTTGAGCCCATCTTTGGATCTCAATCCATGCTCTCCATCACGAGACCACGTGAACAGAACCTAAATGTATTGTCTGGGACCCACTATTCAGGGCAAAGCTTGCAAAGACTATCCTTGTTTCTCAGATTTCCACCTTGAATTTATTCATCATCATTGATGTTGAGGGAAGCTTACCACAATAAGGGTGCAAGATGGAAAATAACTCTAATAAGGTGACATTTTTGGAAGATAAAATGGCTCGAGGGAACAAGATTTTTGCCATCATAGGGATGTTTGGGCTGCTGCTACTGCAACTTCTTGTATTGTAAAGTACCTGAGTTTAACTGAAGTACCTGCACCAATTTATGTGCACCCTTTTGAGATGAAACCGACTTCCTGCGGATAGAAGATGCTACATTGACTCGTACAAGTTGAGTGTTTAAGCCTTCATGTGACACTTGACTGATTTGAGGTATAAATGAATGGTTGACTGAAGATAGCTTCAGTGATGCACTGTATAGCAGATCCTTCATGATATCAGAGAACTGTATATTTTACATCATTGAATAGAGGAGAAGAATGTGTAAGCCTGGACATTATGTAGCTTTAGGTCTATTTTATCTGAAGGGCCTGAAACTGCTGTACAGGAACTGGGGATACTATCGAATTTGGATTTTGTTGACGAATCGGTTAAAAAATTGCTGAGGGGTAGCAATTATGTTTCTTGCAACAGATCATGCAGGCTCTGGTGTAGTTGTCGGTATGTACAATCTTTCCGGATTGTTGTCTGTACATTAGCATTTTCAGTAAATCAATGGACTTTTAATGCCCGAGTCTCAAAATCTTTCAATCTGGTGCTTGAAGGGTCTCAGTCATTACAAAGAACCCAATGAGATATACCCAGAAAGGTTCAGACCACTATCAATTTGATGGATTTTGATATTGAATTAAAATAAAATAAAAAATCAGTTTGAAAAGCAAGTGGATTACGAAACAAGGAAGTATCAGTGGATTTGGTGTTGTGTTGTGCCGGGTTTGGGTCATGGTATTATTTGTTTGAATTATATACCATCCAATTTTTTTTTTTTATTTTTAGTTCAACGATCAGGAGTATTGTATTCAAGTCAATTTACGCTCACTTTGATTAATTTCTTTTTTGGTCTAGTCAAAGGCCGGTCATCACGACAGAATTAAGATATTCATAAGGTATAAATTCTTCATGATCTTGTTTCAAAAAATTGTCAAAATTTAAATTCAAAACATCTAAATTTATCTAATACATTTGCATTAGTGTGTAATTGAATTTGGGTCGTTTATAAATCGTTTTAGCTTGATTGATGTCTAACTCATATATTAAACAAATTAAAATTCTTCTAACCAAAAGGTTAGGAGCTTAATTTTTGTTTAAAGTAGGATTTGATTTCTCATATTTTTACCCCTTGAGATTTTATAATTAATTGATGACACGTGTTATCAATAGTCATACGTATTACCGTTAAATTCAATATTTACTTTGTGTATGGGGTTAGACAGGCCAAACCCACTCTGGGCTTTTGGTAGCCCAACAATGGAATCCGACCCGAATAGATGCCGATAAGCATTACCAAAGCCCAACCGCCACCACGTGTGAGGTGGGTAAGCACAATAAACAGCCACGTGTCAAACACACCAGCTAAGCAAATCCAATCATTAACGGAAAGAATAGAGAAAATTACAGCCTTTCGCAAACCCTAGCAAGCATCACTGTTTGTCCCCATTTGCACACACTCTCTCTCTCTCTCTCTCTCTCTCTCTCTCTCACACACACACACAGTTTCTCTCTCTCTCTCTCTCTCTCTCTCTCTCTCTCTCTCTCTCTCTCTCTCTCTCTCTAAAACTGTACACTTAATCTACCTTTAAACAATTTGTAACTGTCTTATCCTATTATCCATCGAGCCTTTATCAACGAATCCAAATTCAGCGGCTCATTTTCACCTATTCTTTCAGGTATGTAACGCCCTCTTGATTAATCTCAGCAATATGATTATCTTGATCTGAATTGTGGAATTTATGAATCAAAGTTTTACATGTTTAAATAGAAGATTGATTTTGCGTTTTGTGTTGATTGGAAAATGTGTGACATTATCATAGTCCATTTTGTTACGTGATTAATTTTAATTGTTTGTTGCAATCGATGTCGCCGTTAGGGTCATCACCATCATTATCACGATTGTTGCTCGTTTCTTGACGTTAAGTGTTGAGGTTATTGCTGTGTTTGTTTAAGTTATGAAATTAGAATTTCCAGGTTTTAAGCATACACACACAGAGAGGGAGGTAGGGGAGAGAACTTAATTTGGACGTGGTCAAATAACCAAAGAGTTAATGCATTACTTACACAAAGTTCGTGCAATTCAAAATGAATAGAACTTGCATATATGCAACAGAACTGCTTCAAAATAAAATTAAAAAGAAAAAAGAGACGAAACAAACAAGAAAAAGAAAAATCAACAGATTGGGCAAAACTGTGCTCATCCGTTTAGAGATTTGGGCCTTCTTAATTTTCCAAGAATATCAAATCAATCCACTGTGTTCACAGAGGAGAGCAATGAGGAGCTTCAGAAATTAACATTTGGGCTTCAGTGGTTTGTAGCAAGTGGCTTGATTTTTTACAACGGTATCGTGACTCAGGTAGTATAGTGTGTGTGTACGCTTGAATTTTATGACTTTTTATATAACCTGTCACGTGTTTGTGTCTTGGGGTTTAAGTTGGGCAGCCTTGAACAGAGAGGATGGAGTCCATTTGCATGATTCGTGAATTAGAGATGGCCAGCTAATCTCGAAATTAATTTGTATTTTGGTTTCTGGGATGGCATTCACTAGTATTAATTAGGGTTGGTTGCTCAATGTGATACAATTAAAATTGTGTATAATTGGTGTGGCAGAAAAGGATATTGCAAGTGCAGTGGTTTTTCCTTTGACTATGCCTCCTCCTCTCTCCCTCTGGGAAATTGTTTGTGGCGTATAATTATTGTGTCATTAAATTAAGTAGGTATACGGGTTTGGTATTACAAACATCAGTAGCGATGGAAGTCACATAAAAAGAATAAAGAGAGCCAAAAATCTTAATTTTATTGAATTCTTATTTTCCTTCCGCTTTTTATTAACAAATCTTAGTAGAAACCAATCAGATGACCGGATAGGCCGAGGAAAGACCTAATACTGGAGATTGATGTGTCTTGAAGTGGAGTTTTTTCCAGTGCCAAGAAATAGCTTCCATATAAGTTGATCTGTTCACATTGAAGGACTGCGAATGCATGCCAGCTATCCTGGTGGAATACGCTGTATTTGAGTCCATTGTGACAATTTGGAACCTCTTCTGTCTTGTACAGTGGCATTCCATTAGGTTACATTGAGTTGGGTCCTAGTACTCCTGGTAGAGCAACTGTTTTCTGTTGTACTGTTTATTGTCCTTTTACTCTTATTTTTCTAGTGAAGATCTTTATACAGTTATTTATTTTGATTATGAAGGCATGGTTATGCTTTTTATGTATAGCATCTCTTGGTTTCTTTTTGATCTGTTTTTTGAGTTTACCATGGACAGAGTGATGAGATTGATGAAGCTTTCTTCTCAAGAAAATGCATGCACTTCTTTTGTGGGAATTCAGAAGTGTGCCGTTGATTAAGAGCTTATACTTGCTTTACATAGTCTATCTACTGAAGAACAAGAAGCTTCCATTCTTGAATTCCATCAAGGTACAAAGCGGTTCTTTGGAAAATCCCAAATAAATCTTTGCCAGCGTGATCATCTAATGTCTGAAGGTCCTATGGCAATTGTCAAACCAGAGGTATCTTGTTATGTTTCAGATAATTTCATTTTTCGCATCTAATAGTGTAAATTTCCAATTGGGCAATGCATAGAGCAACGTAATTTACCCTTCTAAGATCAGTTTTTTAAGGTACATAATTTTGGCTGGTTGTCAGGGACACATGTTCTTAATTTTATATTTCTTTGCCCTTGGGTTTTTCCTTTTTTTTTTTTCTTTTAAAAGGGGGGGAGGGGGTGTGTGGTTGGATGTGATGCTTGACAATTGTTGGGGAATTGCTTGATGTTGAACATAGTTTGAAGGGTAAAAATGGTTGTTTAGAGAATGGTAATTCATAATATTTCCTCCAATATGTTTTATAATAGTATCATTCAGGATATCACATGGAAGTTATATTTTCTAGCGTGAAATACTGCTGTTATGTGGTCTATAAACCAGTACGAATGGTGCACCAAAGTATAATTTCTAAGTGTTATGTTTTGCTATTTTTCCTGTTGATGATATGTTGCTTATGAACCAATCATGAAGGCTTATGCACAAGTCTTATTGTTTTTAGGTTTTAGGTGTTTTTTTCTCTTGAAACACTTGTGGTTTGTTGCTTATAAACCTTTGCAAGCAGTATAAGCACTGTGGAAATTGTGCTGACATTGCGACCCTCAAGGCCTGAGATTAGAGTTTCTGATGCAAGGCTTGAGTTTTGCACTGCCTTTCTGTTATTGTTTTGCTTACTTTGCTTTATGGTTTTGTTATAAAGATGAAGAGTTACATCTGGCTCCAAACTGCTGATGGTTCAATCCAACAAGTGGAGGAAGAGGTTGCGATGTTTTGCCCCATGATATGTCGAGAAGTACTCCAAACCGGCATGGGATCCTCCAAAAACTATGCCATATCCCTTCCTCAACGAGTCAATCCTGCTATCTTGGGCTTAATACTTGATTACTGTCGTTTCCATCAAGTTCCTGGTCGCTCTAACAAGGTCTGATATGATTTAGTTTCTCTCATGATTATATTCACATCCTTTTGGGTCATACTTATAATGTTTCATCTGTCTAGTCTAGTATACTGTGTGTATTACAGAATTCGATAATTAACTGCGTCGTGACTCTAATGTGTTGTGTTGTGTGTGTATGTGTATCTAGGAGCGGAAAACTTTTGATGAAAAGTTCATTCGGTTAGACACAAAGAAGTTATGCGAGTTGACCTCTGCTGCTGATAGCCTCCAATTGAGGCCGTTGGTTGACCTTACCAGTCGTGCACTTGCTCGAATGATAGAAGGCAAAACTCCTGAGGAAATACGTGAAACATTTCACTTACCGGATGATCTTACAGAGGTCTTTCTCGCCAGAAGACGTAAATAATTTAAAATCATTTTTTTCTTTTATTGCCATTTCTCATGGGTATATGGTTAATTGCAGGAAGAGAAGTTGGAGCCCTTGAGAAATATGACAGATGACCCACGGATCCGGCTTCTAAATCGGTTATATGCAAGAAAGAGAAAAGAATTAAAGGATAGGGAGAAAATGAAGGTGTTTGTATATGCTCCTCTTGTTTACAGCCTTTACCATTGATTTATTGTAGGTCTTATGACTCTTATCCTAGTTGTTTTATACTACATATTTATCTGAATTGATCACAAAATATTAGAATTAATTGCACTATTAAATCCCTTGAAATTGCATACAAGGATCAACTTTTCATTTTGTGCTAAGTATTGAAACGCAAACATTTCGGAAACATTTCAAACACAAAATAAAAACATAAACAAATACAAAAATTTGCTTTCTAAATATTCAGAAATGTTGGTTGAAACATTCCAAAACACGTTNGATGTGATGCTTGACAATTGTTGGGGAATTGCTTGATGTTGAACATAGTTTGAAGGGTAAAAATGGTTGTTTAGAGAATGGTAATTCATAATATTTCCTCCAATATGTTTTATAATAGTATCATTCAGGATATCACATGGAAGTTATATTTTCTAGCGTGAAATACTGCTGTTATGTGGTCTATAAACCAGTACGAATGGTGCACCAAAGTATAATTTCTAAGTGTTATGTTTTGCTATTTTTCCTGTTGATGATATGTTGCTTATGAACCAATCATGAAGGCTTATGCACAAGTCTTATTGTTTTTAGGTTTTAGGTGTTTTTTTCTCTTGAAACACTTGTGGTTTGTTGCTTATAAACCTTTGCAAGCAGTATAAGCACTGTGGAAATTGTGCTGACATTGCGACCCTCAAGGCCTGAGATTAGAGTTTCTGATGCAAGGCTTGAGTTTTGCACTGCCTTTCTGTTATTGTTTTGCTTACTTTGCTTTATGGTTTTGTTATAAAGATGAAGAGTTACATCTGGCTCCAAACTGCTGATGGTTCAATCCAACAAGTGGAGGAAGAGGTTGCGATGTTTTGCCCCATGATATGTCGAGAAGTACTCCAAACCGGCATGGGATCCTCCAAAAACTATGCCATATCCCTTCCTCAACGAGTCAATCCTGCTATCTTGGGCTTAATACTTGATTACTGTCGTTTCCATCAAGTTCCTGGTCGCTCTAACAAGGTCTGATATGATTTAGTTTCTCTCATGATTATATTCACATCCTTTTGGGTCATACTTATAATGTTTCATCTGTCTAGTCTAGTATACTGTGTGTATTACAGAATTCGATAATTAACTGCGTCGTGACTCTAATGTGTTGTGTTGTGTGTGTATGTGTATCTAGGAGCGGAAAACTTTTGATGAAAAGTTCATTCGGTTAGACACAAAGAAGTTATGCGAGTTGACCTCTGCTGCTGATAGCCTCCAATTGAGGCCGTTGGTTGACCTTACCAGTCGTGCACTTGCTCGAATGATAGAAGGCAAAACTCCTGAGGAAATACGTGAAACATTTCACTTACCGGATGATCTTACAGAGGTCTTTCTCGCCAGAAGACGTAAATAATTTAAAATCATTTTTTTCTTTTATTGCCATTTCTCATGGGTATATGGTTAATTGCAGGAAGAGAAGTTGGAGCCCTTGAGAAATATGACAGATGACCCACGGATCCGGCTTCTAAATCGGTTATATGCAAGAAAGAGAAAAGAATTAAAGGATAGGGAGAAAATGAAGGTGTTTGTATATGCTCCTCTTGTTTACAGCCTTTACCATTGATTTATTGTAGGTCTTATGACTCTTATCCTAGTTGTTTTATACTACATATTTATCTGAATTGATCACAAAATATTAGAATTAATTGCACTATTAAATCCCTTGAAATTGCATACAAGGATCAACTTTTCATTTTGTGCTAAGTATTGAAACGCAAACATTTCGGAAACATTTCAAACACAAAATAAAAACATAAACAAATACAAAAATTTGCTTTCTAAATATTCAGAAATGTTGGTTGAAACATTCCAAAACACGTTAGGTTACCTCGAAACATTAAAATTTTGATACTCAATCGCTTATTTCCATGGAAACAAAAATATTCCAGTTGTTTTGGTTAAAACAAAACAAAATTTTTATCCTTGGTTGCATAGGCATCTTGCACTAATGGAAACTTGGTTTCAACTTATTACAGAACATTGAGATTGAAGAAGAGCATGTGGATGAGCGCTCAGTGGATGATCTGTTGTCATATATAAATGGTGGAGATGGAGGTACATGTGATAAATGCTTCTACTTTATCCATTTTAGTGAATGCTTGCTTTGTCTTTTGCTTCTTGTGTAATCAGCTACTCCTATCTCAGTAAAAAGGACCCTAATTGATTTTTTTGACTTTTGTTAAGAAGACAAGCATTAAATGAACACAAGGGGGTGCACAAGTTGGTCAGGATCCCTCTTTTGCCAGATGGAGGTCTTGAGTTCCAGTCCTTCCCTCGCACTCGCAAGGAGTTATCTTGGTAATTACCTGGTGCATTTGTGTAAGGGGTCTGCATGTGCCCGGGAGGACTAATAAGGTGCTCTAATAGGAGCGGATATCTCATAATAGCAGACCAAAAGACAAAAGAGAAAAGTGAAAAAGACAAGTATTAAATGCTTTCCCAGTTGAGTGGAGATATTTCAAGTTTCCCAAGTTGACCTTCGAAACTTGAACAGATTTACCTACTGGTATAGGTGCAAATTTGTGGAAATTGTGCTTTCCAAATTGTATGAACGAACTACAAAACTTTCCTTTATTGACTTTTCGGTTGCACATTGTTTACAGGACATAAAAATAGGAAAGGACCTATATTCTTTGGCGGAGGGAGTATATAAATTTGTTAATTGTGTCTATTTCTTCTTGACATTCTCATAAAACGGCAGCATTTTTAACATTTAGAACATAGCTAAACTCGATGAAGCCCCAGCCACTTCGGGTCTGTCACATGCTTCTTTGTTGCTATTAAGCTCTATCTATTTTTGCATTATAGGTCATTACTTCTCTTATTGACTTGGATACGCCCTTGAGCGTTTGATGTATATTCATATTGTTGAAGCATCCAAAATGTTGCTATCATTTCCAACCTATATATCAGAGGAAAAACGACGAAATTGAAGACCACTGTTCCCCCATAATGAAGATAACCACAATTTGGTTATTTTGTTTGATTTTTATAGTTCATATACTGAAAATGCAGTTCTGAATTGCTTTCAGTCTGTTTTTTAAGTACTTGTGTTGACTTGACTTACCTTCAGTTTTACTGCTATTTTTAGAAATTGTCAAACTAGTTATTGAACTGCCTTAAGCGTTTTGGAGACCTCAGTTGATTTGATTGTATAGGGTTTCTCTTGCATTTGAGGAAACATATTTTGAACAATTAGATCGCACCCCTCTAATCATTAACTGTTTCATTAACTCCTGATTAGTGTCATTGGCCACATTTTACTGTATATCTTCAGGAGGTAACTTATCTTTTTAGGACTTTGTTATCCAGATTATCTTCATCATTTCCTCATTCATTGGTATTAGTAGGTATTTATTTGTGGAGTCTACTCAGAGTTGGCTTTCTATTTAGTTATTTATTTTTCTTTCATGTTGATTGAAGTTCGCAAGTTTGAGTTATGGTTCAACGACAAATGTAATACATGAGCATGCCACAGTTATGACTTCTGATCCACTTAGGCTAAGTTCTTTTGCTTGCCCATGATCATTCATGTGTTGGAATATTTAGTTTGTTTTAAATTGTTGATGTTTTACAAGAACCTCTCTCTTTAAAAGCTTTGCCTTAAATGATTGTTATTTATTTGCTTAATTTTTGGGTCCGAATTTATTGGGGTAATATTCTTTTTAGATTCAAAAGGCGGTAGAGCTAATAAGAATAAGAAGAAAAATCGGCGGAAAAAAGATCAGCCAAGAAACTCTTCTTCAAACTATGAAAATGGAAACCATAAGGTAGATGCCACAATGTTCTCTCTGTGGTTATTGTTGTTATTTTTCTTTAATTTTAGACATTAGGATGTCTGTTGTTGATTTGCTTTAGTTTTGACGAGTTGAGAATCTAACGGTCTCCATTTTTCTTGCCAGAATGGTGAGGTTGATGACGTGTCCTCTCCAAGTAAATTTTCAAAATTCCAAGCTTCCGCATCTGCTATCTTTTCCCCTAAGCTTGACTTTGATGATGGTGATATTGATGACGAGTTGGATCCTGCCATGAAGGAAGAACTTGACAGGTTTGATGGTTCTGTTAAACATTTGGCCTGATGTTTCTTTTTCAATTCGTGTAAAGGTTTCAGTTGGTTTTAATAGGTCTCTAACTATGATGCCAACTCATTGCCTAATACCAGTGCTTATATTCTTTGTATATCAGAGAATCTTTTGGATTTAGTGAAGTTTGTTTCGGTACTCCTTGTTGTTGCCAATTAAAAGTTGTGACAATCTGCTAATCAAATTTGTGACCTCCAAGCTGAAGTCACATGCACTCCAGATAGGGCTTGCCTCAAATTTTGACCAGAAATGCCTTTTCTTTGATAGTAATAAGGGGAATAAGAATGCAACAAGTTGAACAAACGAAGAAATAAGCCAATTACAACATTATCAAATTTAAACCTGAGAACTACAAAGTGTTGACCAATAGGAGTCCAGGGTCATGGGTGTGGCACCTCACAATGTATGTCGTATGGATCCTTTGACTGTATGTTATTATTTTTTGACATACAAGGCCTGCAACGTAATGAAGTCTCCTGTTGAGAGCCTAGAGTGTTAAAACCAGATGAACTCTGCTAGATTCAACTAATTGTGTGGTGGTAGAAGAGTCTAGTATTGGTTGATTTAACTGCTAACCATAAGATGTCGGTTTGCTTATGCTTTAGTTGACTTTGGCAGCATTGGTTCTATGAATCTTGACTTTTCTATTTTCCTTGATCTTGAAAAGAGATGTTATTGATGATGAAAGAAAGTGGATTTTAGTGATAAAAGTCCATTTATGCTCTTTTTGTGGACATGCTCGTGCAAATTAACTACTGAAATCATGTTTCAAATATTTGAGCATGCAACTATGGGGAAAATTGGCATTGTGAATCTCTGTTACGAGGGAAATTTGTTGCTTTCTTTTGTTCTTTTTTTTCCTCCCTTTTTCCCATTCAATTTTATAAGAGACGGTATTTTCATTTCTCTTTTGTTTGCTTGTTCCATTTGGTCTACGATATTTTGAATGGGCATTGTCTGGTAAATGTGGCTGACAGAATCTGCTTCAGCCTTTCTTGTATAATATGGAATTTCACTTGAGATCAATTTGCAATTTCTTATATCCCGACCATAGGGAAGTGGAGGATTTCGCGAGGAGATTGAACTCTGTTTGGCCAGAAAGAATGCATGATATCCTATCACTGGGCCAAGAAAGGAGGCTTGCACCAATATCCATGAATGGAAATGGTTCTTTGCAGAGGTGTACAGGTATGCTATTTCTTAAAGTTGCTTGTCCTCCATTTCTTTGTGATATATTTGCAAAATATCCATAATTCTACTAAAGCAATTTGTCTAGTGTTCTCTCCTCCTACATTGATGTTACTGGTGGTTGAGTTTATCTCACTATGTCCTTCGCTATGTTTTCTTGCTTTGTAAATAAAAGGGTAGAACAATTAACTTTATGGAGGAGGTCTGCTACTTTTAATTGAAAATATGATGTAATCCTCTACAGTACATTATATGCATGGCCATTTTATTGTCTCTAGGAAAGATCCCCTTTGACTTTTTGGCTGGTGTGGTTCTTGCTTCTTGTTGCAATCAAACTGAAATAACCATAATGTCATTATTAATGTGTGGATGACTGAACCCCCAAATTTATGTGCAAGTCCTGAACATATAGTTGTAAAACAAGGTAATGGTGAATCAGAAACACAAATCCATATTAAAAGAGTTGAAATCAACTTTGTATTGGCACTGCGAGTGAGGCGGCGAGAAATTGTTTCCTTCATTGAAGAAGATCTCCAAGCCGTTATGTGAGACAATAGCCTTATTTTCATCTAAAAATAGCTGACCTGAAAGCTGGTCCATGCTTGTCCCAGCATAGCAGGCAGCAGCAAATTGGGCGTTGTTCAATGGTTTAGTAGTTACAGACCCAATGACCCTTCAGAAAACATAGCAATTACAAGACCAATATAATGAGTATTTGCATGCAAGGTTATGAAATTTGATGAATGGGAATGAATTTAATAGCTGCATGTGTTGTTAAAGTAATTGCAATCCTACATATTAAATAAAGGCTGCATGTTGTGTGATTGGTCTCTGTGTCTATCTATATCGTCATTATCAGGATATATTGATCTGTTTATTAACTCATGTGAGGCTAGGTGATGAATTAGCTGACTGGCAATTTACAACACCCCTCACCCACCCCCGGCGAGCCAAATGAAGGGGGAAAAAGTAAGGATGGAAAAATATGCAGCATAATAGAGAGGCTCGAGTTGCATACATCTCGCAAATATTGATGCACATTTTGATTTGTGAAACAGGTTTAGACCGGAGATAACAACCCAATTGCAGATGACCTATTTCTCAGAGAGCAGCCTGAGCAGTTTGGGCTATATGCAGGACGGAGGTTGAGGACCCAGTGGAAATAGTGATGTTTACTTTGGATTGCTTTTTAAGTTTGCCTAGGGGCCATCTTCTCTCTTGGGTACAAAAAAAAAAAAAACACAGGCAAAAAGAAGAAAAAGAATTTGTGAATTTGTTTCTTCAAGCAGTAAGTCTTGCTTGTGTTTTCTTGAATTCATGTTCGTTCACAGTTGTTTTATCCTTCCACAAGTTCAATTAAAATTTTTGTTTCAGTCAGTGTGTCTCATTGATATAGATGAGGAATATTTTAGAGAACTTTGATTTGATAAGTCCTCGTTTCGAACAACGCCCTTGTCGCTCCCCCAGCCTCCCAAAAGATTGGTGTGTTGTAGGCTGGATCAATCGGCGTTTTGGCTTGGTGGCACAATCGATGGCCCTAACAGATGAGAAGTATCGTCAAAGGTTGCAGTTTCTCTTGACGACAGATCTTTCTCCTGGGATGTGGATCTTTCTTTCTGTTTTACTTTTAACATCATTTTATCCTAAACTTATGGGTGAAAACCCACTTACGGATTGTGGGTATATTGTGGACGTCGAATTCTACTTGGATTTATTTTCGATGATATAATATTAAGGGGAATTAATACTAGAGTAAATTAGATTAGTTTCTCAACAATCCTGCACAGCCATGTTAATTAGGTCAAAATAATGAAAAAAAATTGTAAAAAGCGGCCCTCCCCTTCATTATCTTCATGCGCAGCTGTGTCTATTATAACAAATTAGCAAAATGCAGAGGCAATGTGAGATATTTGGAATTTGAGGGGACAAAGGGCAAGCCTCGGTGCAAAGTGAAACTTACCCTCAGAATTATCGTCCCTTTACTTCATCTCTCAGATAGGTAACAGAAAGTGTTGAGGCAAAAACAATTAAACACAAGGATGATATATGGCATATAGAGATCCATGATTATTATTTAGTCAAGGAAATTACAGTTTCAACCCCCCTCCCCCGCCCCCCCCCAAAAAAAAAAAAAAAGAAGAGAAATCGCAGTTTTACAAGCTTAATCCACCCATCTATTCAAAATTACACCTTGGCATTTCGCTGGCCCTAACCACATACCCTTCCTATGGTGTTCATCAAATTCTGAAGGTTTCTTCTCAATCTTTAACCCTGGACCCAGAATAGTAAATCTTGAAAGCTTTGGGAAGATAAACAGGCAACAAAAATCCAAACAAATTGAAGCACCAAAAGATCAAATTAGCCACAGCAAGAGCTCTTCCAATATACAATCTCCATGCACTCCCACCATACTCTTGATCCACCTTTAAAATCTCACTCCTCCACCACTCCATAATTGTAAATATCCTCCTTGAATTGTAGAACACCGGCACAAAAACCCTAATCGGAAGTGAAAATTTGCCGGAAAATGTCACACCTTCCATGAAAATCTGACCGGATAACAGGAAAACATGTGGTGCAGCTGCTTTGATACCCTCTTTGTCGCCTTCGAAAATTCCTTGAAAAATGTAAGCTATGGGTAGGTAGAGTCCGACAATTGCTCCGACCAACACGTAAAGCCTCAGAATCTTGTTGTTTGCGCCGAAAACCGGAGGATCCGCAGACAAAGAGCGAGATGGGAATGCAACCTTTGATACAAAGTAGATGTAAATCAAAGAAAAGATTACGAAAGCGAAGTCTTCGACGCTTACCATGCCGCTGGCGGCGAGGACGATGATCACGGCGAGTACGTTAAGTTGCCGGAAAGTGATGATACTCTTGTGGGTATGAGGTTTTTGGTTGTTCTTTGGGACTGTCTTGTAGTTTTCTGGTTCATGTTGTTCTTCTTTAGGAAGACGAATGTCACTGGAT